GAACATGAGACAAAACCACAAACTCACACCCACACCCACAAAGCCACCTCCTTCCCCCAAGGAGGTCTGTGACTACCCACAGTGTCCTCTGACTGGTGGGCCATACTACGTTCCCCCAAAATGGCCTGTCCTGTCTCAGATCTGGCCTCCTTGGCCAATTCTGTGAATTTGTCAGGAGCCAGAGGTGAGCCACTACCTGCTTTCTCAGGAAAGACCCCCTTCAGAGCTTTCCTGGCAATTGGCCATCCTCACATCTGTAGGTACCAAGAAAGACTGACTCTGTCCTTGGTAAATCGAAACAAGTCAGCCCACTTGGACTTGCACTGGGACTGCCTCTGGGTGCCTGGCTTCCTGTATCCCAAGTTCAGAGAGTTCCATCACCAAGGAAGTGTGGTGAGGTCACTTCCTTCAGGAACTGAATGAGGTCACTGCCTTGGAAACCACTTTGTTCTAACTGTTGCTTCCAAGGGTCCCATGAGATTGAGGCTGCCCCTGCTTCCTGTGACAATTTCACAAGTTGGAATGGTATATCAACCATAGGCACCCAGGAAAAGCTCTTCACACAGGCCTGGTTTGGTCCATCTTGTCTACATTAAGAAGAGAGAGGCTCATTCAGACACATCTCTTCATCCTGACCAGGTTGTTTGCCACAGAAGATGACTTTTGCTCTCTCAGGTCCTTCCTAGCTGCCTAAATCTTCTCCAGGGATCATTTCTGCATGGACCTTTGAGGTTCTCAGCAGGTGGATGATCCCCTATATTCTTGTATTATAAGACCAACTCTGTCCCTGCTCTTGTGTAAAGTTAGATTGAGGGAACAGTGTATGCTTGGGGTTAAGAACATGTTCGATTTGGGTTAGGAATCATTCTCCTGGATGAAGAATGGTATTGGAAACCTGTAATATTTATAATAATATAGAGGTAAAATATATGTATGAAAACAAAAATCTAAGTAAGATTTGAAGGCCAGAAGGGCATTGGGTTTTTGATTGGGATACTTAGCTTTGAAATACATTCTCTACAGATGTCTCTGATAAATCCATATACAATAGCACAAGACCTTGTACCTTGGATGATTCAATGTAGAAGAGAACATCCAGTCAAAGAGCGATAGTAGGTAAGATTAGGAAGATAGTCAGTAGGTTTAGGAAGAAGAGTGTGTATGAAATTTGGACCAAAATTTCTTTAGCAATAGGGTGTCTGTTAGAGAGTGAATGTAAATGTCAGCAAATGTGAAGAGTCAGTCCCAATGATGAACTTGGGAAAATATGTAGGAAAGCAGATATGAATATAGACATTAGGAAATCAGGCAAAGTATAAAGTGAGTGATAGGATTAGACATTTTAAACAGGGTTGAGGTTGAATATATAATCTTAGGCAGAAACAAATGTATAGTCACCAATAGGATTGACATTTGAGAGCATTAGGAAACCTGGACAAGGATGGTTTTAGTAATCCATGCTCACTTTCCAATTAGGCTTTGGTACAAATATAAGTGTGACTTTTGTATTTTGGGACCTTAATATCACTGTGATAAAATGTATATGTAGATCAGGTAACATGAGTATTTCTTTTACCATTTTCGGGAGCAATATGTTGAAGACATATAAATTAGCATTCGGGGGTACAAATAGGTGTACCCTGGGTCTATGAGTATAGAGATAATGCATGAATAGACCATACTGTGAATGAAGAATATAAATGGTTTCAATTTAAATAATGG